GATGATCAAGTATTTGTTTAATTTCTTTCTCAGATAAACCATCAGATTTTTAGGATCACCTAACCCTTTATTTGATTGGTCGATTTAATTAACCAATCCGCTCAACCAATTTTTTTTTGGTTTCATTGTCGAATTAAACTGCCGTCGTGCACTCCCTTTGGAACTGAAGATAGTACTCATTTCGAAATACATGTGTTCCCACTTTAAATGAAGAACAGTTCGTACTATTGAAAGTATACAAGAATCTTAATGGGATAAGTCTCGCTCTGGAGTTTGAAGGAGTTCCAGAGACCGTAGACGCATGCGAGATATCTCATTCTAGAAGTAATTGTTATCGAATATGTATGATTTAAGCACAGATCCTTTTTTATATAAAGATTATTGATCACTTAAACTTTTTTTTTCTTACTTTTTCTCATTCTTTTTTCGCAAAGTTTTTAAAATTCTTCCACTTTTTTCAAAAAACTTTATAAAGAAATTATGAACTTTATAAATGCCTCTCAACTTCCAACACAGGAGGAAATCAATGAATTACAACAAGCATCGCTAGTTTCAAATACTGAAAAAAAATACTGCAAAGTGGCTTCGAGTTGTTGAAAGATTTAATAAAAGTTGTGGTATATCACAAGCTATAGAATTAATTGAACCTGCAAATAAACTTGAAGATTATCTTTGTCAATTTATAACTTGGTTGAAAAAAAGAAGATGGTTCTGATTATAAAGTTGAATCTGTACATAATTGCTACAGTGCAATAAATAGATATCTTAAAGAGCATAGTATTCTTCAACAAATAAAAATTTGGGATTGTTACAAGTTTTCCTCGTGTTCTTCGTACACTTGATGGAAAAATGAGAATTTTACAAGATAAAGGGTTAGGTGATCCTAAAAATCTGATGGTTTATCTGAGAAAGAAATTAAACAAATACTTGATCATCCATATATGGATAATAATACTAATGAATCACTTACTAGGCGAGTCTTTTTTTGGCTATGCTTACTATGTGGTTTACATGGTGGTGATGCATATTGAATTCATAGAAAAGATCTTATACTTCGTCAAGATGGAGATTAGAGCTTATATTGCATAAAGAAAAAAAGAATCAAGGTGGAGCTTTTTATAGAAATAAACATGGAAAAACAAATTCACGACATATTCCTATACCTTCAGATACATTTAATTATCAATATACACCAGCTAAAGATATTCTTTTATTTTGTGACTTTTGAATTAGCTGTAATAAAGCAACAAATGTTCCAGTAGAACGAGAGTTTTTCTGGCGGAACCAATCTAATATCAACCAAAAGATGTAGTCTTAAATCTAATACAATACGCGCCCGTATGTGAAAATCTAGTGTAAAAAATATGTAAAAAAAAAATTAATAATCGGGATTAATGAATAACAAAAAAAAAATAAATAAATTTTTAAACATTAAATTATTTTCAAATTTATCATGGTACTTTTTTACTATCTGTAAAAATCAAATGCATTATTTTTTAATAGTTATATTTTCGACATTAATATTACTCTTAAAATTCGAGTCGAATCCGGATTAAACAATTATTGGGTCGAGTAGAATTCGGGTTCTGTAATTATTAATGGGTTCGAGTTCGAATATTCCTCAAACATGACCCGACCCGATCTTATGAAGCACTATTCTAACATACTATAAGAAAGTTTGGAAACAACTAAATAATTGATAATGTACGTAGTGCCGCAGTAATTATGATTTTTATTTTTTAATATAAATATGAAATTCATTTGTATAAAATGTTTAATGTAAGATATATATATAAATTCGCCTTCAAAATAAATAACACATCTAAAATAACAGAGTTTTAATCGTGAAATAAATTTTTTGATATTTGAATATCTAAAAAAAGAAAAATTTAAGAACTTTCTCATGTCAAATTTAATTTTTTCCAAAATAAAAAAAGAAAACCTTTTTATTTTAGAACGCATTGCGGTTATTAAAAGTTATTCTGTAGGATATTTTTGGCTTTTTTTTGATCGAGTGGAAAAAAAATTTTTTTTTAATTTGACGGCAATTGCTAAAGTAGTAATAATAAACACATTCCCTTTTTTATCTCAGATCTAACCATATTTAGGTTAGGATTAAAATAGTTTACTTCATGTATAAAAGATTATTGCGAAGCATAATACATGTGCAATATGCATATATTATGTCACAATAACATATATTATGTCACAATAACCTTATTTTGCAACTAATCTAATTAAATTTTGAATTTGGAAAATAATAAACTTTTCGCAAATAAGGTTAAGCAAAATGATAGAGCCAAAAAACAAAATATTAAAATTTTAATTAATTGCTAAAAAAAATCTGACATTCCTGATCTTGAAGTATAGTATCTTGACAGTTATTCTTCTATACCCTTTCGTCCACTGTTACTTCTTCTATTCCCATTCCTACAGCTGTAACGTCAGTTCAAAATCCTCCCTCGCCTCCCATTTTTTTTTTTTTTTTTTTTTTTACAAACTTCAGTTCCCACTCACCTCTAATAGGTACACCAATCTATTTCGACTTATGACTAGCCACCGTTTATTCGTTGTCGTTTTGGTAGTTATATAATTTAAAAGGATTTGGCAATTCCTCCAAAACCAAGACCAGGTTGCTATGTCCTGTGTCACTTTTTTTTATTTCCTCATTCATTGGTTTTTTTTTTTTATTTTAATAATCAAAATGAAAACTAATGAAATGAATAAAGTCGTTCTTATTGTTACTACAGAGGTCGCGCGGCACGCAACAAAGTAATTATCCAAGAAAATATTCCGTCACTGTATATGCGGTGCTTTAATAATAAAGATAATAAATATATTCTTCAACTTGTGATATGTACTTTTCAAATCTTCCAAATCTGCCAGAAAACAGCTTTCGATTCACTCGAATCATTCACATTGACTAATCTCTTCGTTTCTGCTAAAATATTCAATTGATATCAAAAAGGATAATATACTATATACATCAATGAAATACTTTGAAAATTCAACGTTAATCTTTTTTTTTAAAGGGGGTCATGTAGTATCACATTAAATTTTCCAATTCATCATGTCGGAGTTAATTCCGAAAATGAAATTAAATCATTTTTTTTTTATATAGTAATAAAGGTTAAAATATTGAGTAAAATGAGATAACAATAAATAGGAAACAAAGACAAAATAAATTAGAACAAAATAACTCCGACATTCCGCAGTAAATGCGTCTTCCGCGATACTTATTTGGATAATTCGTAAATCACCAAACTTTGACAAATGTAATACAGAAATGAAAATTTAGGAGGATTTCCCAGTTATAATCCAAATAAGTTGAATAAGTTTCAAAAAAGGTATTTATTTTTAGATATTTACTAACAAAAATTCAAACAAAGGGAATATTAAAATAAATAAATACATTATTGTTTTATTTTGATTTACAAAAATATAACTTTAGTAATTTAATAATGAAAAACAAAATAAGAATTACGAATTAGGATTAAACCATTAAATTTATTTACTGCGCAATTATCCCCATTATTATAATTAAAAAAGTATCTATATTAATCTATGTGATAAATTATATTTAAAATTTTACAAATCTTTTACGTTTAGGTTTTGCGTTACAAGTACCTCCATAAGAAAATTTCGGTTCGCAACCTTTGTCACAAAAACCAGGTCCAATGCCACAATATCCATCAATACCACAACATGGAGATAGGGGATCTGTGCATTTATGACCGCCCATATTTGGACATCCATTATTACTTTGTGCAAGTACTCCAACACCTTTGATAGTGACTTTTTGGATGACAAAGGAAATTCATATCAGAAAGAACGTTTGATTTGATAAGGAATTTCAAAATACGAAAAATGGAATTTAAAATTGAAACTTACAGTATGAAGAGTAACCAACATTTGCGGTTAATTTTCCAATGGTTAACGCATAATCGATCGCAGACTTCGTTGTCGTTGGAATGGAAAATTGGCAAAGTAGAGCTAAATTAGATTCAAAAAAGAAAAAGAATTAATAACCATAATCCATTAGATTCACTCTCGTCCATTAGTAAACTTTCTGTTTTTAATCACATACCGGTAGGGTCAATGTCTTTGCAAATTGTCATCAGTGGCATTAAATTATCTGGTGGACCCTGGGTTAAAATTACATCAATCGCCGGTTCTGTTGGAGTATCCTTAGTTAAGGTCCAAGTAATATTATAAATATATCCGGCTTCTAACACACTACCCGATGCTGGGAATACAATCGAATATCCAGCCTTAGAAGGTAAAGCGTATAATACGGTTAAAAGTAATAAACTTAAAATTAATTTTGCCATATTCTTTCTTATTAAGTGAATCGTCAAAATTGTTTGCAAGGAAAAAAAAGTAAAGTGAAAAAAAAAAATTGTAAGAAAATTTTTTGATTTTTTGATTTTTTGATTTTTTTTATTAATTTTTTTTTTTTACATGGAATATAACGCGGGCTTTATATATTTATCTTTTTACCTCGCTTTAGATAAAAATAATATTTTTAGATTCGTGTATATATAAATATAAGATTATGCATTAACTCCCGAAAAAAAATGTATTTTTCGGCTAATTACGGTATAAATTTTACGTGTAACAGTACAATTCCTGTCACACCGCATGTTCCGCCTCCCTAAGATACATAATTTGATTAAAACAAACTTTGTGTGTTACCTATAAATTTGATTTTTATAATCAAAATTTGTATGTTTCGTGTCACTTGTAAACAATGTGTAATATGTAAGTAATCATTTCTATGAAATCTGTGTAATATTTTTATACTTCGTACCTTTATAAAATCACCCCTATATAGGCACGACCGCTATGTGATTTGCTTTTTCAAGAAAGTGTGATAGATATCAGTGCATGCTTCAATGAAATCAGAGATTTGTTAAATAATCACTGCAAGCGTTAAAAAAAAATTCTGCGTTTCTATTCAAACAATGATATCCTCTCCTCATATGGTAAGTTTCTAATAATGTTTTATGGCGCAACATGTATTTTTAATTTTTTGACTTCTTTTTATATATAAATATCTTTTGAATTTTTTCGAAATCATGACAAGTTTTGCAGCTGTTAATAGTTACCTCGGTGAATAATAACGTCACGCAAAAACGCTTTTAACGATATTGTTTTAAGGGCGAATTATCTTTCAATGTTAATAAACTAGTAAAAATTCGATATCAGAAAGCATGACGATTAATTGTTAGGAAATCTGTGCTATCATACGGTAAATAAATTCAAGTGAAGCTAAAAAAAAAAAATGTTTATGAATTACTTTGAGTACACCAATCCCTTCTGACGATAATTCGGCTTATCTCAACGATTTCTATTATATCGGATGTAAGCAGTATATCTAGAGCTCTATAGTTTATTAAAAATAAATTATTTAATCTGAACTTTATATTTCTGTTACATTAGATGATTAGAAAGTAAATTAACAACGGACTAATGTACATCCATTTACAGTTTTAACTAGCAATTTATGATATATATGACTGGTAATTAATTTATTTAATTAAAAATTTCTTAGCAATATTAGTGCAATTGATATTCAAATAAATTTTCTATATTCGATTTTGGATAATGTTGTGGGTAAAAAAAAAATTTAGTGTGATTTTATTAGTGTGAACCGGATTTCTGGAACTTTGAGCGACAAAAAAATTACCATACACTAACACTAACACTAACAAATGAAGAAAATTTCTGAAAATTCTTTCATTAAACAGAATATCACGAATGAATTAATGCTCAACATTTTGAAAATGATTTATATAATTACAATACCATGTTGTGGTCAATTTTTATTACATAATTTTTTATAAATCAGGCTTTACAATTCCATAAGTTATAACAAATTCACCGGGATCATGATAACTCCAACTTTCACGCCATGAATAAAACCTGGCTCTACTGCATGCTATATGAGCATAGTATACTGGAGGAACTTTAGAAATGACACGAGTCGACCGTGCAAATGTATAACACAAGTTGTAGGTCAGGTGGAAACATGATAATGTGTTGGACGCGAGATTCCTCGTAAGATAAAAGTCAAATTCGAACGGATGCGTTATGTTGAATCAACAACTGTTCCCGGAAGGCAATTCCCTGATCTATCGGAACATCTTACATTCATTGGGAAAAAGCACAACTACGTAAGTTTATAATTCGCTTCAAGTGATCCACATGCGACTAAACATTGTGAAAAGGTGTGTTTGAGCATTTGTTGCTAAAAATAATTTTTTTAAATATATTTACCTTTAATTTCCGATATTTCTAATTCTAGTACAGTTTTGAATTGATTATTCGAAATACCTTCTCGATATAAATAAATACTTTCTGGTTTTCTTCCACAAGTCTGGTAATAGATTTTTAATAATTCCTTGACCACCTGGCAGGTCCGATACGACCACCTGAAAACCTGCCTAAACGCGAATAGGAGTGGCATAACGAGATCCTTTTGTATCTATGGAAGCACTTAGATCAGCACTAGATGGACGAGTACTATCACTACCAGGAACATATGTATACACCCATTATTATAGTTGGACGTTGCGAAATAAACGGCACTAGGCTTGGTTCGATGAATGAATTCATACCACCAAGTGTTACATTCATTTTCAAACAAACATTAGCACAATACTGTTTCTTTGCTTGAAATATATGCCTGATTGATTGAAAAATAATTCCAAAACTAAGCAGATTTAAATTCTAATAACTCGCACGTATAAAATTTAAAATTTTTTTATAAAAACTTTTTATAATGTTTCGCGATTATTACATATAAAAAATAAAAATAAAAATAACATAAACTCAGTTCTCCATTGTATTAGAATTATGCCGATTAAATCTATAATTTTTTTTTTATTCAATATTCCAAAAATCAAGTTTCTTCTCTTAATAAAGTATCTCTCTCATTAGAATGTAGAAACTTTTTCATTCGATTCAGCCGTCACTGAGTCGCGACTCTAACAAAAATTTTAAAATTTTGTTTAACAATTTAATTAATGTTCAAAGATTACTATATATAATTTAAGTTTTCGGCAGAATTAAAACTGCTAGTATCCCATTCGGAAACAAATTTGTAACATTTTAATTAATTGAGAATTTCGCGAAGTTCTGTTATTATATTAAATTTGGAACAGCGACTCTTTCATGGTTCAGTCATTTGAAAATTCCGGAGCCGACTTTTGCAGAGTCGACGTAACGACTCCAACAACTGGTGGCACCACGAATTATCACCGTCAAAATATTCATACACCTGATTAACCCTTTCACATTTAAGGTCTATAGTTCAAAAATTTTAATAAATATAAAGAAGACTTCCAAAATATTTTAAGATGGCGAAGTAAATCCAGTGGTTTTGGAGGAGAAGTATCTAGTGCGGTATTTGATACTTGTTATCACAGAAAGAAATTATTTATTACATCGAGGATAAAAAAGAATAAAAAAGATTTGATTTTTGATCACTTTATGAGTATTATGGTTAATTTTGCTATTGCTATTATATATTCGAACTTTCTGTTTTAAGATTTCGGCAATTTACATAATCTTTTCATCCTTAGTTAGATTTATGATGATGTCGGGGGGATAGATTTAATCCGCTATTAAAAATTTGCCAAAAAAAATCATGTGCGCATTATAAATTGTCACTTGCCATTAGCATAGCATTACAGTACACTTTTTAATTATTCTACAAAGAAATATATACCAACTAATTCGTAAATCACATACATGCATACCACAAGATATTTATATAGAATATAATATAGTATTATTTTTCATAAATTCAAACCTAACTATAAACACCCCTAAACTTCCTGTAACTCTGTATTTAATCCATTATCAATATATTTAGCCCTCTTTGCTGAAGAAGAGAATTCTGTTTAGAGGTTGGAACCGGCCAAAAATTCTTTAACCGGTTAATTGACGAGGTTAAAATTAACTTTGGCCAGTACTATAAATTTGGCCAGAGTTAGACAATATTTTGCAATCATAAAAATCTTAATTCTGGCCGGAAATTGAATTTCGGCCGGAGTTAAATTCATCTATTTTAACCGGTTAAAAAAAATCTTTAACCGGTTAACATGTAAACCGTTTTAACCGGTTAATTAACCGGTTAAAAATTAACCAGTTACAACCTATAATTCTGTTTCACTAGGACGTGACTTGACAGCTTTTCTAGGCAGACGGGTAAAGATGCTAACAATGCTCCATTTCGTATGTCTGTTGTCCTGTTAAGCAGCATATTATCCAACTTGATATATTTGTTCTCAGGTACGCCACTAACTTCAGAACACTTGCAACATCGGCTTCTTGATCTCCAGTATGAAGTTTGAAAGTAACACCATTACCCTCATAAGCATAAATCAAGCACTTTTTTTTCATCATAGACTGCCTTCATCGAACTCAAACGGATGGTTGTCCCATTAACCAAGCCGATATGCGAACGAGTCGCATTCACCTCATCCTCTGATAGATAGTATGCAACTGTAAGCATTCGATTGTATTCAAAAGCTGTTTCTTCTACCACAACTACTGCATCCTTGTGTACTGCAAACCCATCATTCTCAAATTCGGTTATAAAAAACGGAAATTGTTGATTAGCACCATTAAAGATAATAGCGGCAGAATCAGATCTAAATGATCCACATCCACCATTTCCTGGAATTTTAAGATGGTATTCCCAATTCACACCAATCTCTTCTGAACCAATAAGATATGTGTCTGAAAATATTTTTGCCCACATTTGTGTTTTTATGTGATTTTCTGACTATTTACTTCCTGGGCCTCGGCAGGGAGTCGATGAGTAGAGAAGAACAGAACGTTGCAGTGATGTAAAGACCAGACACTCTTCTTCCTCAACACCAGCAGTTAGAGACGTAGCACACAGCGGTGCATGTCTTGGTGTACATAAGACTGAACGCTCTTCTTCCCCATACCAGCAGTACAGGGCGTAGCACACGTAAATTTTCAAAAAATACTGACTAGGTCATGTTGCATGCTAATGTTTTCCATCTTGCTCTAGTTCCAGATTTTAGTTTCCGAATCAAAATTTGTAAATCAGCACTCAAAGCATTATGTGAAATTTTTTTGTTGCATCTCGTACATTTTCGTGAAAGTAGCTATCCCACGTATCCTTATTTCCCCATTAAGTATAAGATTTCTCCCAATAACCTAACATATGAATATATGTTAGATTATTTAACGTTGATATAGTTAAGAACAATAAATACTTACCACGATATCTAACTTCTTTTAAAACTATTTTGGGTATTCCACCTGTTGGCATATTTGCATATTGTGGAGAAAGAGACGCGTTATAAAGTTGAACGTGTCATTAAATTTTATAAATAATTAACCCATGTAGATCATTGTAGAATTCCATTGATAAAATGAAGATCGGTTTCAACCGGATTTGTAAAATACCGATTTGAAAAGGGTCAAACGGTTGCTCCCGTTTTAAATCCGGTTTTCAAAAATGCAACCGGTTCCAAACTCTAATTAGTCCAGTTCCATTCTTTGTTCTTCCTAGAATAATTTGTGCAACCATAGGATCTACGATGCTTTGTATGACCGCAAAAGTAACACAATTTAACATCAATATAACAATCTTTTTTAAAATGTATGATTGAACGTCAAACACCAAAAGGTATGTAATAAATGATTTATTACCAAATTGATTATCGAACGTCAGAAAAACTTTCTTTCCTTAATATATTTCTCAATATCGTTTCAGGTATTAGATGCTTGACAAACAAAGATACTAATATTGAGTCTCAAAGGTATAAAACTGCTTCCATCAAATGAAGTTCTGTAAGGAATTTATACAACCAACATCAAAGGTAAAAATTATTTATCATAAATTACTGCCCGTGAATGGTAAGTGACTCACTTACCTTTTTTAATAGGTATCATTTGTTTTCATCATGTTAAATAGTAATATCGTGCTTACTTCCTTTCCTGCTTCTCTTTTTTTAAAAACACATTCACGTCATCTTTTGCAGCTGGTTAGAGATGATCCAGTAGTAAACGTTGAGCGTTTCTTGTTGTTAAGTTAATTTTCTTACAAGACGCAAAATGGCATTCTTGTTCAAAAACTCAAGGTGGAAATCGTATAACTAAAACAACCAATAATCTGAATACGAATACGCTTCATTATATGTTTTACAAGAAAGGAGACCAATAACCGGGCGGTTTCCCAAGGAATGGAACAAAAAAAATTAATTTAGTCGTAATTGAAATTAAGTATCTCAATTCTCAATCTAGATACGCTTAATTCTTACTAAACTTACCTAAAATTATTATCAAAGGTATAAACGATAAGTGCGAATCACTAAAGCAAGGGAAGCAGTGGACGATTTATGTGAAATAATTACTATATGGATGAATAAAGTTCTAAGGGTATATAATCGAGGTTTCCCTTACAATCAAAAGTATTCTTCGTATGGTCAACTCTTTGGTTGTCTGAACCATGGAAACCTAAATGGTCGATTGACTTCAACCATTAATAATTTTGATGGAATTACAATAAGTGAATTATAAGCCATGATAGCATAGCACATCAACGAAAATGGTCAACGGCGGAACAAGCACAAAATTACAAATATGCAACGCAAATTCTTTTGTTAGCGAATAGTTATTTACCTTTACCAATCGATAATGAACTCCATATTGCTTTTACCAAGTGTAACCGATTTATATAGATAATTAATAATCTAATTTTTTTTTTTGATAATTATTACTATTATTATTTTTTTTTTAATTTACAAATTCTGGTCAACTTATATCATTAATAGATTTAAACACGACACTTACTTGGTTGAAAACTGGGATACAGAACCCTTATCGATATTTTGAAAGAGCAAAACCTCAAGTTCGAGGAAAAGCATTCGATGTCCTTAGTAACCGAGAAATTGTCAATAAGGACTTTCTTGACATGAGTAAGGAAGACTTAATGCAAGCTGGACTGGAAATGGGACCAGCTTTGAGACTTGCAAAAGAGGTCCAGGCCTTCAAAGACAATACGAAGCGCTCGTTCTCCTCGTACAAGAGTTTGAGTGAGGTATTAGCGAAATATGACATCAATAGTTATGTGTTTCACAATTTAAAACTTAAGCCAGGTGAGATTCTGTGTAAAGCTTTGGATGATTTTATTGTTACAGAGATACCGAATTCATCTATTTCTATTATAGAACCCCACCAATTGAGGAAAATTCTCTGGAGTTTAAACTCTGCATTCTTCGCAGAATAAAAAATATGGCCCAGTTGCTGACAGCAACGAGGTTATGCGCTGTAAATATATTTTATCAATCCTTCACACAGCTATCAGTCTTCTTAAAGATTTGCTTATCTTACCTCAGGTGACGGTAACTGGTGCTGAAAATTCCGGTCGTGTAAATTATGCAATCAAAAAATAATAGATGGTTATTCGAAGAAATAATTTGCATAACTGAAGGGAAGCAAAACCATCTGGGACAAAGGATGGCTCAAAATCTTATGCAATGTAAAAATTGATGCGATGTAAATAATGTTAAACATGCTCAAGAAAAAGCGGAAGGCGGACGAGGCATTCGACTATGGGTATGAATATGTATATGGCATTGTCACGATAGGTGAGAAGATTGTTTCAGGATGTTTTTTATTTTTAAGTTTATGCAATACTAACTTGAAAATTTCTTAATCTTCGTGTAAATAGCAACTTCATCCTTCACAACACTGAAGGCATTTTCTGTACGAGCAAAACCGAATATCGAATCTCACTAACGGAAGATGCTCTCAATGATCAAACTGAACGCGAAGAGGATTTTAGGGGTTATAGCAGGCTTGCTAAAGGATAGAGTATCAGCTAGTGATGAACCTGCGTCTAAGAAGCGTCGCGTGGAAGAGAATATCAAGAAAAAATAGAGATATACAGGGCGTTAGCATAGAAAATTTTCATGTACCACAGCAAAATTCCGTTCTTTTGTATTTTTGTCTTTATTATTAATAAGACCAGTAATGATTTGTTATAAATTTTAAGTGTTAATATTGAATTCGGCCCATTTCAAAAAAATACGACTAAATAATATACCAACTTCAACGTAAAATATTGTTATGGTTGCTGAGAGAACCTTTATAAAAATTGGTAATATAATGGCTAATAAAATACCTAAAATTATACACAAAACAATAACAAAAATATAATTATAATAAAGGTTACCCCTCCATAACCTAATAAGAATCGCAGCAATTTCGACAGAAAATAAAACTGAATTTAAAACAACTAAAAATAACTATAATTTTTCCTCATCATATTTATATATGGTTACTTTAAGAACAGTTAAACAAATAAGGACAGCAAGATAGGCTACGAAATAAATAGCCTGAATTTCAATTTCCTAAAAGTCGTGAAATGAAGCGACGAATTCGCTAAAAGGGATTTAGTAAAAATTTATAATAAAATTTTCTTTTTTTTTTTTTAACTAAACATACCGATTTTTCCATTTCGGTCTTTTTCTTATCGACGAGTGCTTGGATATAAGCAAGTCTACTTTGATTGTCCCCAAGACGATTGAAATTTACTGCTTCTCGTCCGCCCATTTCTTCAACTGCCATTTGTTGTTCGGCATCAAGAACGAGATCAACAGGGAGATTAGGTCTAGGTCTAGGAGGCATTTTGGTGATGACAAAATGAAGTTCAAGTAATAACTATGGTGAAGCTCTGGCAATTTTTTTTTTTTTTTTTTTTGAAGTCAAAGAGAGAGAAGTTTTTGTGAAGTTTGATATAAAGTGAGCAGAGGAGAATTTATAGTTGAAAGGTTGAAAATCAAGATATTAAATTTATTAATATATTAAGGGTGATTAATAGTGATTAATATACTAAGGGTGATTAATATAAGGGTGATTAATAAATATACTAAGGATGATTAATATATTAAGGATGATTTATTAATAGTGTTTGTTATAACAAAATATTTAAATATTTTTTTTTTTTTTTCTGGGAACGTAAATCAATATCACATTGCATGAAAATATAGATGAAATGTGCATCAATGATTCAAATAGCTCAAATTTCACGTGAGAGACGTAAATATGATTATACTATTTTTAACTAAAATCAATAAAAGATGCTTGCTTTAGTTGTCATAATGGCTATTTCATGTTAAGAAAATATAAAATCCCTAAAAACAATTTTGACTAAAATAAATTTTTCAATTTTTCAAACACGTCTTGTTTGCTTTTTTCTTTCGAAGATACTGCTTGCAGTTGATATTAAAGAAATCTGTCATAATTAAATAATGGTGTGATACTGATGTTGTAACTGAAATTGATTTTCGTCTGAAGTTGGAATTCAGATAATCTTCGAGTGTCTGAAATTGAGATTCCAACTTCAGACAACTTATAAAAAAACTATTTTAACCAATCACAATATGCCAATTTTTTTTTTTTACAATTTCGTAACTTTAACATTTTATATTTCAGACTTTAGCTTTTAGCTGAATTATAATTTAGCATTAAATATCCAATATGTTTTTTTTCTTTTTTTTTAAAGGATTATTTATAATTTCTTTTATTTTTTTTTTTTAGGATTTTTGATCACATTCGGGCTGCTGCTGCTTAATATAGGATAGGTTTTTTTTTTCTTTCTTTTTTTTCATTTTTTTTTTTACTTTCTATTTTCATTTTATATTTTTTTATTTATTTTTTTAATTTTTTTATTTCGATTTTATTTTTTATTCAGTTTTTCGGCAAATAAGTTATTTTATTTTTTTTTTTTTTAATTTTAATTTTATTTCTATTTTATTTTTATACAGGTTTTCGATCGCATCGGGTGCTGCGTTAGTTTCGTTTTCATTTATTTTTCAGGTTTTTTTTTAAACTTCAGACTGAAGTGATCCAACCTGAAAAAGCTAAAAAAAACATGTCAAAAACATTCACTTTTTTTAATTCTTTTAAAACAGCAGAAGGAAAATAGAAAAGGAATTCCTAGTTTTACAATTACCTGTATAATAATTCTATTTTGAAACTGAGAGGCGAATTTTAAAATAAAATTACTTAACATTTTATAAATTTTTTCAAATTTTAATTATAGAAAAAAGAAATCGTTAATTTTTTATTATATTAGTGTAGTAAAGAAAAATAAATAAAAGAATTCAACCGCTTATTCAACTGTTCATTTCTTCTATTGACCGACTTATCAATTCATCCGATCGTACAATTTCATTTGACCCATCGACTTTCATTTTTGTTTCGATTCTTTAACAACGACAACCGTCCGGTTCTTTTTCGAATCCATCATTCCTGATTCAACCATTTCAACCGATCATGTTCATCTTCTATAATAAGGCAAGATTTTATTTTCTAATACTTTCCTTTACATTCATAATTCAATTTTTTTTAAAAAAAAAAAAGATTTATATGCAATTGCAATCCACTTTCACTAGATACTATAATTAAAAAAATTTGAATGGTTAAATTTCGCAGTAAATCAAAAATTTGAAAGTTCGCTAACCTACTTGCAATATCAACTAAATTTGTCTTTTAAAGATTTCCCCTGCAAATACAGAGTTGGAATTGACCTTGTCCAATTCCCGATAATGGACTATTGAACTTTGGACTAAAGGAGATGTATAGTCCGATTCCAATTCGAATGGACTCTGATTATATAATTTTGGCCAAATTTATAATGCTAGCCAAACTTTAAATTTTGGACAATAATAAAATCGTTCAACTAGAACGATTCTACTGACCCATCTGGATTTTTCAGTGAAAAGAGAGCTTGACATTAACATTGCAAATATTTCAAATTTACCTCTTCCTGCTTGATATTCCAAAAGGCCAACATTGCTTGCTCCCACAAAATTTCATTTCCCTTGCGACCTTTTCTTTTTTTTTGTAAAAAAAATAACAATTTTTAGTGGATTCTCAATTTAATTAAATAGTGTTAAAACTCGATTTCTTGGATTTTGTTAGCTTTTATTACATCTGTTGAAATTTTCATTAATTTAAAAATAAATGCTTTTCGCAATTCATTTCTTAATAATTCTTCAAGAAACATTTGACATTTCAATTAAGGAAAGAGATGTGAAGTGTTCAATTGTTAACGTTGAACTAAGGAACCTGATACGTTATTCAACGATCAGCTACCACCACCGTTTATAATATATTTTCTTTTGTAAGTCAGAAAATAAACGGAAATGAAATTGAAAATTAAAAATAATACTTAGCTGCTACGATTTCCGAAACAATTCTAAAAAGCAAAAACAAGGACTTCTAAGCTAAAATATAAGAATTTATCTTTTTATTCCATAGTTAATTAAGAGAATATTTTCGGAAACAATTTATTTTGAAAACAAACCAAAAATATTGCATAAATCATATCATGCTATAATTCGAAAATGCAAAATCTTATCTAGCAACTAATATAACTAAAATTTGCCGCAAAAATATAATCTACATATAAGGTTAAGCAAAAAGGTATTTGCTTTGCTTTTTGGTATTCTTTTTTCACATACTGTACACCAGGATTGCAGTTAATTGGTCATAAATTTAATTTTACCCATTATGAATACAAGGTAGCTTTTCATGAAAATGGAATAACCCATTAGTTATGGACATAAATATTTCATTCACAATTTTCTAATTCCAATAAATTTCACATATTATTATTAAAATTGTCTTAATGGTTTTGAGGATAATTTTTGAAACTAATTAGCGAAATGGCAAGTATAACAATGGAAATTTAATATTACATTTTAAAAGTCTTTTTTTTTTGAATTTTTATAGGAACCTTGAATTATAAGATATATTTAGAAAGTTTAAGTGAATAAATAATCGAAAGAAAAAGAAGCGTTCGAAATTTGTGTCTCACGCAATAAAACCTTTACTGAATCTTTATCAGATGCACAAATTTAATAGTATTGATTAAATTAAAAATCAAGAATTAATATAGACCCACTTCCAAATAATAAGCAGGCGCAAATAAATAATTTATTAAAAAATTGCGTAAAAAGTATAAATGTATATTCGAATATATTCATTTTAAAAAAAAGAACGCGTTATCAATGTATATATAAGTAAATCATATATTTTTTTAATAATAAAATAACAAAGATTACTTTATTTGCTAAAAATTTGAAACACTTCATAATCTTCTATTAAAAATTTATCATCCTGATCTCTTATCATTCTTTCATAATAATCATTTCTACAATAAATTTCATAATCATTTAATTCATTTGATGCATACAACATAAGATCATGACCAAATGATGGACCATATCTTTTTCCATAAACTAATGCACTCGTTACATTAACTACGTTGCTGAAAATTACATCATAAAAAATGTCATTTTTAACTTTAAAAGAAAATATAAAACTTTCCTTACAACCCCCCAATTCATTAGACGATTTCCATATAATAGGATTATACCCACCAAGAATTTCATCCGTTCCTTTTACCTTAATAAATGTAACTGTCT